CTTTTTAACTTCCTCTATTGTGTGTTCTGTGCTTTGAGTAATTTCCTTCCTAATTTCCTGAAGAGTTCTGTATATTGATCTTTTGTATTTTGCCTGTGGTAATTCCCAGAAATTTTTCTCCTCTGGAAAATTTCTAGATTCTTTATTTTGGGAGCTTGCTGAAGCCATCATGGACGGCCTGTTTATGTGATTTGATATTGACTGCTGTCTCCAAGCCATCAATAAAGTTAACTAGATTTATAAACTTTAAGCTTGCTTACTGTGTCCTAGCTTTTTGTTTTGTTTTGATATGCCCAAATAGGCTGCTCGTGTGAGCAACTTTGATTATTGGCACCTTTGAAGCTCTAATGTTCTGTCACCAGCTGGTTAGATCTGTTACTAGGTATGTGAGCTCAGGAGTCCACCCACTCCTCCTGTAGGGATTCAGCTCAGGTGCCCAGGTAGATAGCCACCGAGTGTGTGGTGTAGGCTCTTACCTACAGTCCTAGACAGGTATGGGTGATTGGTATAGGCACAGGCATCTGGCTGCAGCAGGGGGACACACTCTGAGCAAGGCAGGGGGTGACAGCCACCCTTGAATGTCCATGAGGAAGTCATGTCCCTGTTCCCTAGATTGCATAGGTGGGTGGGTTTTTCAGCCGGACTATGAGCACCCAATGCTTTTGGCTGTAAGGACGGGGGTGGGGGCACCTCTTATTCATGGGCCCCTATAGAAGGTGGCTAGGTGGCATGGTTGGAGCCACCAGTCCTCAGGTCCCAATGTGGGTAGGTGAATACCCTGCTTAATGGGCAGAGCAATGTCAAATGTCACGAACCTACCACTTCACAGCTGAAACAGCTGAAGTTAGACATCAGGTATATACCCTGTTGTACTGCAGTAATGAGGGCCTACACTGTTGAAATGGGCCCACACAAGTCTATGCAGGAGGAAAGGCACTCAAAGTCCATGGATCCTTTATGCCTGAGCCTAGGCAAAGGAGCTATGCCTACCCTGGGTTCCTGGCTTAGGGGAGCTGGCAGTTTATTTTTTCCCGTTTGTTAACTGTTCACTCTCCAAGGCCAGGAGAATGGCTCAGGGCGTGTGATGGATCCTACTTTTGGCCCAGGGAACTTGGCCATTGCTGAAGCTTGTCTGCGACCCAGTGCAGAGCAGGGAGCGGGGAGGTACATGCGAGAGAGGTTTTTCCCTAAGGGGGGGTGTTTTTGATCCCTGCGGTAGGCTGGATGTAAATACTTATCTTTCGCCGATTGACGGCTGCTTCTCACTGTTTCTGGGTGCCCAATTACAGTCTCTGCCACTGGGTCTCTCCCGGTGCGGAAAACACGCCTCCCAAGCACTGCTGCTTGTCTGCCTCACTGCTCACCCATGAGCTGATCAGGCCTGAAGGACTCAGGCTCTCGCCGGGTCAGGTCTGGCAACTTGTCGCTGCTTCCGAACCGTCTCCCCCTCCCCCTGCCCCTTGGTCTGGTTCTTCAACTTTGCCTTTGATGTCCAGAGCTCCTAGATTGTCATATATAATTGATTCACTTGTTTTTTCGGGTCTTTGTTGTAAGAGGGTCCACCGGAAGTGTCTGACTGCTCTGCCAACTTGGCCCCGCCTCTCTGAAGTCTTGATACATGCTACCATATGGATGGAACTTGAACACATTATGCTGAGTGAAATAAGTCAATCACAAAAGGACAAATACTATATGATCTCACTTATATAAAAAGGCAATGTATAGAGACCAAAGTTTATCAGTGGTTAGCAGGGGTGGGATACAGGAGGAAGGGGGAGCTAATGCTTATGGAGTACTGATTTTCGGTTTATGGTGATGGAAAAATCACATTGATTAAGTGCAGGGTTTCACAGCCGATTACAGTAATTGCTGTCAACAAATTGTACACCCGCAAAAGGTTGAACTGGCAAAAGCTGTGTGATAGATATATTTACAACAACGACAAAAAAATGAGTAGCTGCTAAGGCTGCTTCCGTATAGCCTCATGGGATCTGATTCCATCGTTTGCAGGTTTAGGGTCATGGTTTCATGGAACATCCCAGTTAACTGGTCTAATACCATGTTTAGCGCTTCTACATCCTAGTTCAGTGTGTAGTGCCTGGGGTCTTAAAAGCTTGTAAACAGCCACCTGAGGCATGACAATCAGTCTCTGCTTGCCTGGAACAAAAGAGGAAGAAGGAGAATCAGGAACAGGAGGAGGACATGGAATGTGTGGCTAGTCGCCTCCATGAACAACTGCCTCCTTTGCCACGAGACCAGAAGAACTGGATGGTGCTCATCTACCATTACTGAATATTTTGATTAAAGATTCTATAGACGAATCCTACCAAATGGGAAAAATGTAGAACAGGATTTCATATTCCCATGGCCTCCAGACTTTCTGGAGCCATGGAAGCTGGATGAACCCCTGAAACTACTGCCAAAAGATAACCTTTAAACCTTAAACCAACTATATCCCCTGAAGTCTTCTTAAAACCAAACAACAGTTTAGCTTAACTAGTAAAGAATGTCTGCCTCGAGCATTATGCGCTTTTAAGAACTATCTATATGGGATCGAACTGACAACAGCAACTTGAAAGATTAGACAGAAAGTTAGGGGGCAGTGAGTTTATGTTAATGGGAGAGGAACAACTGAGAAAAGGAGGGAGAGAATAGTTGCACAACTCGATGAACATAATCAATATCACTGAACTGTACATGTAGAAGGTGTTGAATTGGTGTATATTTTGCTGTGTATATTCTCATCAACAACACAACAAAATAAATAAAATTAAAAAGAAACTGGTTAATACAGAAAATTAATATTTTACATTATCTAAAGATTTGAAAGCATGGAAATCCCCAGGGAATACAGCAGGAAACAGATGAGGTGCCATCCTGGAGACTTGAAAATGAGGAAATATGGACTACATATTAGATAATATTATTTTCACAATGTTTAATTTTTAGGTGTGATAATGGTAGTGTGGTGATTTAGGAGATTTTTAGGAGACACATGCTAAATTATTTAAGGATGAAGTCTGCCACTTACTTTCAGAAGATACAGGAAAAACATACACACACAGTAAGAAAGATAAAGCAAATGTGCAAAATGTTAACAACAGGTCTGTCCAGGTAAAGAGGTATTCATTATATTATTCTTTCACCTTTCTGTAGGTCTGACATTTTTTAAATGAAAAAGGGGAATGCATTTTATATGTATCAAAACATTTAAGACTGTTCACAGCAATATTATTCATAGGAGCTCAAAGTGGAAACAATCCAAGTAAACTAGATAAGCAAATGGTTAAGTGTGGTGTAGTCACACTACAGCAATGAAAATGAACCAACTACTATAACCCACCATCTAAAGGAAACTCACAAAAAAAGGCTGAACAAATTAAGCCAGATACAAATAGAATTCACGTATATGAAATTCAGAATCAGTCAAATCAAGTCTATGGAGACAGTGGTTACCTTTGGGGAGGTAGCGACTGTAGGGTATGAGGTAGGCTTCAGAGGTGCTGATAACATTCTATTTATCTGGGAGGTGGTTCCACAGGTATATTCACTTTCTAAAAATTCATCCTGCTATACCCCTATGATTCATGTACTTTCCTATATGCATGTTATAGTTCAATAAAAATGTATTTAATAACAAAATAACTAAGATCATTATTACTCATAAGCCCATTCAGTGAGCTTCCCATCTGCAGAGTTAAATTCAAAGTCTTCATCAGGACTTGGAACGTCTTAGATGATTTGGTGGACAGCTACCTCCCAACCTCCTCTCCTGCCACTCTTTCTGTTCCCTTACGCTTCTGTAGCTACACTGGCGTCAATGACATTCCCAAACACTCCAAACGCAGCTTGTATGTTTGTTATTTCCGGGGCTATTTCCTCTCATTTGCTTCATGTCTCTGATCAAACGTTCCCTTGTGGGAAAGATCTCCCTTGACCTCTCTCTCTGAAATAGCATACTCCCTTGTTATGTTTTATGTTTCCAGCATCTATTGGCACCTGACATCGTAGAGTTAAAAATCACGTAACATACTGTCTCCCCCTCTAAAATGTAAGCTCCGTAAGATGAGGGCGGGATTCATGACTGGTATTTCTTTATTTCTTTGAATATACTAGGGTAATATACCTTGTATATAGCGAACACTCAGATATTTGTTGAATAAATACTTCAGACAAGACTCAGATAAAATGTGGGCTGTCATTTATCTTTGTTGAGCAAAATTTTTATTTACAGACAGTATGAGCAGGATTACAATGCAAATGTACAAAATATTCAGGAGAATAAATTCCTTTCAAGTACCCTCAAGTTCATTGAAAAAAACCACCCACATACTGTTGATACACTCTACTAACCATAATACACCACTGGTTGCCACAATGCCCTCTGAGCAGCACTTTTGAAAAAACCCAGTTTAAATGAAAATAGTTACAAAAACCAAATTAAAAAGACTTTCTTAATTGAATAAAGCTTTTCAAACTGTACTACAACTTAATGATTTCCGTTTTAAGATATACCTTAATTCAGATTTATAACTGTCTTAGTCATCTAGTGCTGCTATAACAGAAATACCACAAGTAGATGGCTTTAACGAACAAAAACTTATTTTCTCCCAGCTTAGGAGGCTAGAAGTCTGAATTCAGGGCACTGGCTCCAGGGGAAGGCTTTCTCTCTCTTGACTCTGAGAAGTGTCTCTTTTCAGCTTCTTTCCTTGGCTCCTTGGTGATCTTCCTGTGGCCTGGCATCTATCTTCCCCCATCTCTACTTTTTTGCTGCTTGCCAAATCTGCTCTTTTAATCTCAAAAAAGACTGATTTAAGACACACACTACACTAATGTGGCCTCATTAACAAAAGAAAGAAAACCCTCTTCCCAAATGGGAATATAACCACAGGTATACGGTTTAGAATTTACAACCGTATTTTGGCAGGGGGGACAAAATTCAATTCATAACAATATCCAAAGTGATAACCAGAAGAAAAAAAAAGTGAGCAACTGCTTACGTTAACTTTGAAGGCTTGCACAGTGTTATCCAGAAGTAGGATGTTGCACACCACCTCTGTATGCTGTCTGTCTCGGGCCAACTCCGATGCTCTTACATTGTAGGTTCTGCCAGCAGGCAATCGGAAACGTGAGGTCATTACTGTTCACACAAGGTCTGAGTTAGAATGGAAGAAAAAAAAAAAAGCATTAATGAAAATATAGAAGATACAATGTGGTTTAAAAAACAAAATGATTATATATTTTTCAAGTAAAAGAGTTATAAATTTTGAAACACCAGGATAAGAACTGTAGGTATAAAATAGATATCACACAGTTCACCTTCTAAACTGAAATTACAAGATGTCTTCAAGGAGAGCTTTATTGCTTTATTTTTAACTGTTCCAGTAAGAAATTTTAATATACAAACAAATTTTTCAGAAAATCACATTCCAATTCAAAATATGTAAACTCAACGAGTAGCCAAAAAAGGGGCGGGGGAGGTTATAAATTACCCACTGATGCAAGTATTTAAACCACTGTAGAATCACAACAGGAGAAAGATGACTGTGGAGGGCCCCTCTCTTCTTTAAAATTTATGATTTGGAAGAAACATGGAGTTTTTGGAATTCAGCAGTACCCTTCATTTTAATTCTCCTCAAACGCAACATAATTCTGAAATTTATTCTTATTATTATTAATAAAATAAAATAGAAAACTAAGAGCTACCGATTTTTGCTTTTGCATTTTTAACTAAAGAAGAAAAGATTGTTTGTAAAAGGTGGAGGACCTGAGAGGAGCAAACAGTGCACTTGGCTGCTATCTGAAAAGTTAGAGGTTCAAGTCCACCCAGACGCCCCTTAGAAAAAAGGCCTGACAATCTTATTTCTGAAAAAATCAGCTACTGAGAACCCTACGGAACACAGTTCTACTCTGACACACATGGGGTCGCCATGAGACAGAATCAGCTTGAAGGCAACTGGTGATGTGGTGAAACTTTTAACCAAAATTAAAATATTCCAGCTTAGCCACTCCATAGCACAATGTCTGAATGTCAAAATCAAAAGCAGAGAACCAGTATTCAACATTCTGACAGAATGCTTCCTTCTTCCCTTTCCTCTGTCCATATAACACAGATAACAAGAACCATGTACCACAGTCCTTTAATATTTTAAGACAACAGGCATTTTCAATTTCAATGTGTAAGTTTTCTTTGATTGTATTTTTGCTTTACTCTGGTAAACTGCTCTTCCACTAATGGACACTCTAACTACAAATATATTGAACTGTAAAATTTAGCCCAGACTTAGTGAATAAACAAACAAAAACAAACCCGTTGCTGTGGAGTCAATTCCGACTTATAGCAAACCTCTAAGACAGAGTACAACTGCACCACAGGGTTTCCAAGGAGCAGCTGGTGGATTCGAACTGCTGACCTTTTGGTGAGCAGCCGAGCTCTAAACCACTGTGCCACCAGGGCTCCATTCAGTGAACAGGGGAGTATAAACATTTTACATGTATGTCTAGCACCTCTGTTAAGTGCTCAACTACTAGCCAACAGGTTGGCAGCTCAAACCCACCCAGAGGTGCCTTGGAAGACAGGCCTGGCGATCTGCTTCTGAAAGGTCACAGCCTTGAAAACCCTATGGAGCAGTTCTACTCTGCACACATGGGGTCGCCATGAGTCAGAATCAACTCAACAACAACAACGTAGCATCTCCTTAAGTAGAAAGCAAGGTTCTTATGTAGAAACACTTCAGTTTCTTCTCCACCACAGCGCCTAAAACATTCCTCAAAACAAAGTACATACTAAATAGCATTTCTTGACTGAGCAGTCATTTCAAATTTGTTGTGTTCTGGTAACACCTTTACAGACTAGATGACTTCACGCAAATTGTTTTACAATTCGGTCGTTCGTTTGCTCATCTGCAAAATGAAAACTTAACTCAGAATCACTACCATGAAGATCAATGAAAACATTTTGAAAATTACAACTATGTCATAAATAAGGGTCTTAATCAAAATATTTCAATTTCTCCAAATGAAGTAGAATTTCATCACTAATCTGAACACAAAAGTCCAGCTAAAAAAGCCCTTGAGATTGAATGGCAGAAAACCAGAACTAGTTATGACAAGATGGCGAATCTGCACAGGGAACTAGCCTCCTCCCCAAAATTTAACACTGAAAAAACTAATGAAGAAGGATCCATGACTCACACTTCACACAAAAGCAAATTCAAAATGGATTAAGTACCTAAATGTCTAATCTAAAACCATAATATTCTTACAAGAAAATGCAGGGGCAATGCTGTTGGGCCTAGCTTTTAACAATGGATTATCTAAAATAATAATAAAAGCACAAACAGTAAAAGACAAAATAAATAAGTGAGACCTCATAAAAATTAAAAACTTTGCTTCATCTAAAGACGTCATCAAAAAAGTGAAAAGACAAGCTACTGACAGGGAGAATATCTTTGGAAACCGTGTATCAGACAAGACTCTAATAACAAAAATATATATAAAACTTAGACAACTTAACAATAAAAAGACAAATAACCCAATCATAAAATGGCAAAGGATTTGAATAGACATTTCACCAAAGAAGACATTCAAATGGCCACCAAACACTTCAGCATCATTAGCCATCAGAGAGATACAAATCAAAACCACAATAAGATATCATTTCACTCCCACTAGGATGACTAAGATTTAAAAAAAAAGAAAATAACAAATGTTGGCCAGGATGTGGGAAAATTTGGAACCTTACCCCCTGCTGATGGAATGCAAAATGGTACAGCAATTGTGGAAAACAGTGTGGCGGTTCCTCAAAAAACTAAAAATAGAACTACCATATGACCCAGCAATTCCACTCCTAGATATATACCCAAAAGACATGAAAGCTGACACTCAGAGACTTGCACACCAATATTCATTGCATCACTATTCACAATAGCCAAAAGGTGGAAACAACCTAAATGCCCATCAACAGATGAATGGATAAACAAAACAGGAATAAACAATAGGAATATTACTCAGCCAGTAGGAGAAGTGAAGTCTTGATACTTGCTATAACATGGATGGAACTGGAAGACATTATGCTGAGTGAAATAAGTCAATCACGAAAGGACAAATATTTTATGACCTCACATATATAAAAAGACAATGTTAGGAATTGAACTGTGTCTCCCCTCAAAATATGTTTTGTAAATTCTAACCTTTATATCTGTGGTTATAATCCAATTTGAGACTTGGTTGTCTTTGTTATCTTAATGAGACGGGATTAGTGTGGAGTGTGTCTTGAGTCAATCTCTTTCCAGTTATAAAGAGATTAAACAAGTAAGCCAGTGAGCAGAGATGGGGTAAAACAGATGCCAAGACACATGGAGATCTCCAAGGAACCAGGAAGCAGAAGCTGAAAAGGACCTTCCTGCAGAGTTGACAGAGAGAGAAAGCCTTCCCATAGAGCCGAGACCCTGAATTTGGACTTTTAGACTTCTAAATTGTGAGAATATAAATTTCTATCTTTAAAAGCCACCCAGTTGTGGTACTTCTGTTATAACAGCACTAGAGAACTAAGACAGAATTTGGTACTGGAAGAGTAGGGTGCTGCTCTGGCAGATACCTAAAATGTGGAAGTGTTTTTGGAATTGGGTAATGGGTAGAGGCTGGAAGAGTTTTAAGGTGCCTAATAGTGAAAGCCTAGACTGCCTTAAAGAGACTGTTGGTGGAATTATGCACATCAAAGGCAATTCTGATGAGGGGTCAGGAAGAAAGGAGAGCAACAGAGAAAATCTCTGTCATCTTAGAGAATATAAATGGCGCCAGCAACAGAAATGTGGGCATTAAATGTGCTTCTGGTGAGGCTTTAAAAGAAAATGATGAACATGTGATTGGACAATGGAAGAAGGATAATGCTTTTTAATTAATGCAGTGGCAAAGAATTTGTCTGAATTATGTTCCAATGTTTGGTGGAAGGTAGAACTTCAAGTAATGAACTTGGATATCTGGCTGATGAGGTTTCTAAACAAGACTTTAAAGAGGCTATGTGGTTTATCCCTGCCACTAACAGTAAAATGCAACAGGAAAGAGATGGACTTAAAAATGAACTGTGCAGAAAACAGAACATAGAATTTGGAAAATTCTGTCGTACAAACTAAGGATACGTGTCCTAGAACGTTCCCCAAGGACGTGGCTACATGATCTTTTGTTAGAGATTAAGCCTGTAACTAATGGATCTAACCAACTACCACAGCAGAAAACCCATCATCTTAGACTGAAGAGGACAGAGAAAGAATGAAAGAAAGAAAGCTGTCTGCCTCTTGGAGTTTTACAGGCAGAAAACAGGTCAAAGGAGCTACATCTGTTGTCCTCCAAGAAACGAACCATCCCTGGAGCAGCCTGGAGATCAGCAGAACTGTTGGAAGGAGCAGAGACAGCAGGGCTTTCTCGGTTTCAAAGGGTGGGGCCAGGGTATCCTGGATCTCAGAGGGTAGAGTCACAGCCTCCTAGGTTTCTGAGAGTTGGATCCTTGCCATCTTGGTTCTGGAGTGTGGAGCTGCTGTTAAGGTGTGCCAGGGGAATGGGGCCACTGCCCAAAGCTGAAGGGGTGGGGCTGCCATGCCCAAGGGGTAGAGGAACAGGGGCTTGCTGGAGCAGAGGGGTGGGGTCACCACTTAGATGAACTAGAAGAACAGGACCACCCAAAGTGGAGGGAACAGAGTCACTGTCCCAGTGGGCCTGAAAGGCAAAGCTGAAGCCCAGGACAGAGGGCCTCTATACAGAATCCACAGGGCAAGGCCAACACCCAGAGTCTGGAGAACAGGGCCGTTACCCAGATGGTCTCAGAGAAGACCGATTATTTTCAAGCCTGGAGAGGTAATTTAAATTGTTGTGCTGGGTTTTGGGCTAGCTTGGTGCCTGTTAACCTTTCTTTCCCTCCAACTTCTCCCATTTGTAATGGAAATATCTGCATTGTACTTATTCTACCATTGTATTTTGGAAACAGATAACTTGTAATCTAGATTTCACAGATTCCACAAATTAAGAGGAATTTTGCCCCAGGATGGAATAAGCCTAAAGTCTCATCTGTATTTGATTTAGATGATTCAGTATATGAGATTTTGGATTGAGAGTTGATTTAAGACTTTTGGGATGATGTGATGGGGTGAATGTGTTTTG